AAAAAAAAAAAGAAAAAAAAAGATCACCCCGTACATAACCATACCAGAAATCCTCTTCCACAAAGTAAACTCCTCTGGGCTGATTCAATTCGACTCATTACCTTTTGTGAAAGAGCGAGAAATCGAAAAGAACGGAGGCTGTTATCGTTCGATAACCAGAAAGAATCCAGTCGGCAGACTTTTTGTAACGTCGATCGATAAAAGCCTCGTTTGAACTTCCGTCTGTACCTGCGCCAATGTATTCGTGCGTCATGATACGCGTACACCTTTCTCCCTGTCCCATCCCCCTTTTTATTTTTTTTTTTTTTTTAATCTCCCTGTGAGTGAGCGTGTGGTTCGATCGATCGAAGAATAAATACGTATATACGGCAGCCGAAAAAATACTTATTCGAACGTGTGTCTATGTGTGTACCTCCTGTATACACATACATGTATATGCAATATATGTGTACACGCACGCACGCACACATACACACACACACATATATATATATATCGTTACAATAAAATAGAGATATACTCTTGTTTTTTTTTTTTTTTTTTTTTTTTTTCTTTTTTTCTGTCCCTTAGATTTCCTCTGCATTTTACCTAAGCACGCTATACACGCTTAACTATCTGTATACATTTAATTTACGTTCAGTACTTATTGCAAGAAGATTGTTGGCATGCTTATTGCAAGTGTTCTTTCAATTTTTTTTTTTCTTTTCTTCCTTTTTTCCTCCCTTTTTTTTCTTTTTCGTCTAGAGCAACGAATACGTAGGTTGCACGACGGAAACGCGCCCTGTTTAGCACGCGCGCGCCTTCTTCCGGAAGCAGGCTATCATTTTTCTCCGCCAATAAAATATATGTACAACGCTTCAAGGCTACGCACACAATGCGTCTCTCGTGCAATTCGTATACGCGTATATTTCAATAAGGAACTCTGTTTATGTATATAAGTATGTGTATTATTATGTACCCGTGTGTGTGTACGTATATATGCCTGTCCTATGGATTCTCGTCGAGTGCTCGACGATCGCCTAAGTCACCCTCCTCCCCTTTTCGCTATATTCATTCTCCGGCACGGTATCTCTCTCTTTCTTTCTGTCGGCTTCCGGTCGACTCTGTCCTATGAACACAGTCTGGGATCGATTCGTGGACGAAATGGAGCGGCGGTGCATCGCGGTGCAGCTGCTTGCTTCTCTCTTTTTCGATCGTTCCTCCTTTAATAGAATACGCAGGGATCGCAGGGATGAATTGGGAAGTTTTTCAAGGCGGAGGGGGAGGGGGAGCAATAGCGGAGGCTTAGAAAAACACGGGAAGAAGGGGAAACGGAAGTGATTACAGGGGATTGCACGAACACTCGCGTGATTTCATTTTTACGCAG